TGGAGGGAAAAGTACAATATTTGCCTTTCAAATGTAGGGAAGTTAAAGTCATAAGTTTCCAGAAAAAAATAATACTCAAGTAAAGTACAGATACTCAAAACGTGTACTTAAGTACAATACTCAAGTAAATGTACTTAGTTACTGTCCGCCTCTGAATGTGGAGGTGGATTACAAGTTTCTTTATTACTTGTAGTTTACACAGGCACACTACACCAACTCGCTAAAAACAAAACTCAAAACTGATCGATCATTAGAAACGCAGTGGCGGGACAGGACTCGGCGGTTACTGTCCATGGTTCTGAAACAGCGCTGCCCTCGACCTCCCACCGACCAAACTACACTGAACTACAAAGTAAAATATGAGTTTAACGAAATGATTCTTTATACGGTACAACCACTTTAAATTAAGCCGAAAATTAAGTCATGTCACAGTCCACGTGTACACGTGACACCATTACACGTTTAGGCTACACGTGATCCTCTCTATAAACCATTTGTTCATATCAGATGATATGAAAATATCCCCCCCTAGATAATTCTAGATAACATAGGTTGACTAGACAAGTGAAGTAGGCATACTTCAGGGTTATTTGAAACAACCCACTTTGATAGAACTCACATGATAATGTTACATGATAGAACCAATACATTTTTATTTGATTATTTGTTTTTATAACCACTGTGACATATAAGGAAGATAATAAAACACATGTGAATATTACTTTCGCATGCACACTTAGGCTAATTTAACAACCCAGAAAAAAGCTGATCGGGACTCTAGTTTTCGATTCTACGACATTTGCAGCTTCCAGCACGCCAAATACTCGGAATAAATTTCATACGAGATGTATGTGAAGTATTCTCCAATATCAAAACAGCTAAAACAGCACGTCCAGCTGCAATAGCGCGAAAGCAACAGTGCGAGGCGCAAGAGCTGTTTGCGTTTCCCCAGCTGAGCGTGCTGACATCAGACTCCACGTTGAGCTCGCGCGTGCGTCCGTCTCCATGCCACGACTCGGTCTTTCGTTCCATCTTGTGAACGGCGCATCGGTGAAGCAGCACCGCGACAGTGTTTACAGTAGGCCTTCGGGGCTTACAGGTTTTCATCTTTGTTTTTGACAGTTGAACTGCGAAGGGCTTGCACAAGGGCTAACGCTCTGCCTACAGACTGAGCGGGGTAAGATATGCCGAACCACGTCGCTCGTTATGGAGGTCTGCGACTTTGGCAACAGCACTGCACTTTACGATCATATGTCATGGTGTTCCGCGGTATACTTGTTTTTTGTCAGTATAACAACCACGGATTTAATGTTTGCAGCCG